GCTTAGATGAAGAGCTGGGGGGGGGGGAGTGGGAGGGAGGGAGGGAGGAAAGAAAATAGAGAATGATTGTTTAAAAAAAATTACTGAGACCTGAGCAGCTGATTAATTTTATTTCCTACAGACTTTCGGCCTGTTTGCTATGAGGAACCCCAACATTGGTGCTCAGTTGCCTACTATGAACTCAACAACCGGGTAGGGGAGACTTTCCAGGCTTCTTCTCGAAGTATCCTTATAGACGGATTTACAGATCCCTCAAATAACAAAAACAGGTTCTGCCTAGGACTGCTCTCAAATGTAAACCGCAACTCTACTATAGAAAACACCAGGAGACACATAGGAAAAGGTAAGAGGAAATCCCTTCTCGTTGGGAATATTCAGAGCTTGAAAGAACCGTGCATTGCATTAACAAACCTAGCTGATTTGTCAGATGTGCTTGTCTTAAAACCAAAGCTCTGAGATTACTTCTGAAATAGAAGAAAAGCAGCTGATTCTTTTCTGACTGGATAACAATCAGCAGGGTAGCTCCTTACAAAAGCTATTGACTTGGCCAGCAAAGAGAAAAATGTTGTTTATAGTTGTGCGTTCTAATTTAGCAGTATGTATTTTCATTTTATTTATTAGAGCTTCTGGCAACTGGGAATATTGCCATTGAAATGCCACTAAAAGGATAATTGCTGGTGCCTCAGGGCTGGTTATCCTACCACCAAATAACAAAGGGAGATGGATGAAACACTTAGGAGTTGAGTTATTTAGCTGAGGAACTCTACCAGAGTTGCCTTTGTAGCTTTTCCCCCCCTACCAGGCTGATTCCCTCCCTTGTCAACTTCTCGCCAGTAAAACTAAGTCTTGGATTCTTCCTCCAGCAGTTCTCCTTGTATGCACCACTTCTGGTGTACGTATACCCTGTGCACACAGGAGCATATGCTGCTGGTGACAAGTACGAGGAGACCACACCTGGACATGCGTGGCTGCACACGCTCCGTCCCAGCTCATTAGGGCTGTGTAGGGCCTGATATTCTCCCAGAGCTTACTGTTGTTTGTGGCAGTGAGTCAGAAGCCCTGTACCGGCCACTTCTCTGTGCAGATGAAGGTTTGCCTGTTCTGGTATATCCAGTCTAGACTCATTATCCTGCCAACCCAGCCTCTCACCAGTAGCTGCCTGGGAATATATTTCCCACTGGGCTAATTAACTCTAATTGTTCCACTCCTATTATCTTGTCAACCTCACCTCATTTCCCAGGCCTAGAGCAGTATTTTAATTGGCTCTTGATAGTCTGGTGTTGAATGACTGAATACGAGGAAGCTCAGAGATAAATGTGACATAGTTTTTACAAACAACAGTGAACCTGAAGGCTAGAGCAGGAGATGTTGTACTTAGCGCTTGCACTTTTCTCTGGAAGGGAAAGCACTGATGTTGCAGATGCACTGTGTGAAGCCAGTGTGATGCTACAAGTGTCTGTCATAGTAGTTTGTTGTGAGGGGTGGAAATGAGTTGTACATCTAGTTCTAACTTACTCAGAAAATAAAGCAAAGCTTCTCTATCAGCATAAGCTGTCAGAGGGGTGTAGATCAAAGCTGAGCCCGGCCCTAAAAGAAGAATGACAAAAGATCCCAGTCAAAGCTGTCGTTTGAGGATGTTACATCCTGTGACTTTCTGCCCCAAAAGAGGAAGAGACAGAACAGGAAGAAAATGAGGTAAATGCTAATGGTCCTCATCCATTCAAATCTGAAGATCTGTCTTCATTGATTAAAAGTCCTTTAAAGTCTTACACTAGGAATCTGCCCAAGGGAAGGGAGCAGGTTGCCCAGAGAGGAGCTTAGTATATCAGAGATCCTTAATTTTACTGCTCTTCCCTGTTTATGCAAATCTTAAAAAACCATGTTGGAGTGGAATAGAAGTGGCACCAGTACAGGCCTGCAGAAGAGCACAGAGCAGCTCCAAAAGTGTATAGTTCAAAGGCATGCTGGACAGATGAAAGCTACTGAAATGGATACAATTGTCACATGTTAACAGGAGAGAAAAAAGAGTGAGTAAACAAGATTAGCTCAGTAGGATAAGGATATGTGATTGAATTGTCATCTAGTGTATCAGTGTGAAATGGTTTCCTGGAAATACCACATCAAAGCTAAAAACAATCCAGAACACAATGCAACATCTACTAGCAATTGGACCTGTTTCAGCAGTCGGACTTCAAGGACAAAAAGAGGACTTCTGATCAGAGCGTCAAAAAGATGTGGATGCTTGGAGACTGATGAATTTCCAGTTTCTGCAGAGAGCAATGAAATCCCACTAAAACATACAGACCCTTGATTTGGTCTTCTACAAATATGTATTCAGCTGCTTGGCTTCCTTGTGGGTGCTTGTCTCTGGTGAATGAATACCAGAAGAATAGAAATATGTACTGACATTTCATTACTGCTGTATTTATTACTTTTAAAAAGTCCACAAGGAAAAGGGAAATTGTAGCCTCTGCTTTCAGAAGTGACTTCGGTGGTTTTGTTATTATAGTACACAGTTTGGGCAATGCCTTTGAAAGCATTCATTTTTTTCAGAAGTTGGGTTACTCAGTATACTCCGAAAATCCAGCCTTTAAAATTTTTCACCTTAGCACCTGGAAGTGTGGTCAACCTAAATCAGTAGCCACACCTGAGGATTTGAAATGTGGTGAACATTTATGTCCTTATTCTTCTCTCCCTACCCTGTGTTCATAGAATCATAGAATCATTAAAGTTGGAAAAGACCTCTAAGATCATCGAG